AGAGAAGAGTGTGAACGGGGCGATAGGCGAACCTATCTACTTCAGATGAAGAAGAGACTCAAAGTGAGAGATATCGTTCTACGGACGGATGCTAAGAGTACAATAAACTGAACCACGAAGACGTTTTAAGGTATAACTAAAAAGACATTGATACTTACAGAGACAGTTGAAATTTCTGTGACAGAGGGTTTGGAAAGTTTAGCACTCACAAGTCATATTCCTGCCAAAAGAAAATTGGGGAAACAGCGAGTAACCTACCTACTTTATGTTTGAGTGGATGTCAGAACAGGAAAAAATAGTCAAGCGTTACTTAGAGCAACGAAAGGCAAGAAGCTGTAGAGAGCCATGATCGTTCACGTCCTAAAGGAGAATGGTACACAAAAAGCAGTGATTTTTATAGAATGAATGCTTACTAAAAACGAACGCTGTACATGTTTCCAAGTCTTTTCGCAAATACAAATCACCTGAGAGGGTTGAAATCTTCCTTGGCGAAGAATGGATAATGAGATAATAAATACGTGAATGTGTACACTCGTGGAAAGCGATTATTAACGAGCTAATCTTACAATTCACCATTGGATGCTCCATATCAATGATCTTGTGCCAGACTAGGTTTAATAAATTTGTACAGTCATGCTGAATGTGGACAAACAAACACAATTATGTAAATAGTATAAAGAGCATTCTTTCAACATATGTGCTGCATACGTCGGCCATCAAGCAGTAGATCCTTCGAATGAAGGTTAGGGCCTCGGGTAAAAATGGCTGGTAACTCAAACCCCATTCGTTTCGTCATTAAATCTGCCCAGAAGCAGAAGATTAATTTTTATTTATTTATTTTGCTTCATTTTCACAGCTGCTAACTTCAGTGATACAAGGTCTTATCCAGAATCGACAAAAGTATCCCTTTTGTAAATTTTATTATTACTATTATTGCTATTGTTTACGAAGAATGACTGCAAAAAATAATAAAGCTAAAAAGTGTTGAGTAGCGTAAACGTCGTGGTCCTAAAAATGCATGATTTGAATGAAAAGGATGAATTACTAATGGCTTCCAAAGACAAAACGGAAGTATTTTTCAATTATAAAATAAACAAACAAATAAATAAATAATAACAATCATCATCATAGTCTGGCACAAGATCATTGACATGAGACACCCAATCATCATCATCAACAACAACGACAATAAAAATAATAAAACATTATCACTAAATATAAAATGCAGATACTTATTTACTGAGCTTAGGACACACTAGTAGAACGGCCAATGAGGATCGAAAAGTCAGGATATCTATTTATCTACATGCTATATGTACGCATATTTTTATACACGTTCATTATATGCTTGCATATACAGAGAAATAGATGAGTAGAAAGTGATAGGAAAATAATAATAATAATAATAATAATAATAATAATAAAGGCGTTAATACCTAAAACGAACGAACGAAGCAGATGTGAACCAACAGAAAAACACATCAGTGACTGAGGAGCAGCTAAAACAGGAGGTCTAATTTTTGCAGCTCAGGGACCAAAACCTTGCTCCAGATCCTATCACTGTCACAAAATCAAGGATGAAACTAACCTGAAATGCAGGATCTGCGGTAAATATCATAAAAATTGTCGATCTCGGGATGTCCGGAACTATCAGAAAATGAATATACCCACGGACATAAGGTAGCGACATATATACACTGGAAGATATGCAAGAAGCACAAAATCGAAACCACTGAGAGATGGTATGACCACCAACACAGATACAGTTACCCAAAATGAAAATATAATAATCCTCTGGGACATGCCAATTGAAACTGACGAGGAAATATAAGCCAATAGACCTGATATTCTCATAAAAATTCTGGAAGTGTATGCTTATTGACATAGCAACACCATGTGAGAGAAACATCTCCATGAAAATTATCGAAAAATTGTCCAAATACAAGGACCTGGAGATTGGGATTAACAAGATGTGGAGAATGAAGACTGAGACTCTACCAATAGTAATCGGTGCTCTGAGCCTCGTGAGAAAAGGAATGGACAATTTTACTAACAGTGTCCCAGGAAACATCAACATACAAGTTGACCAGAAGATCACCCTACTAGGAACATCCCATATACTAAGAAAATTGCTATCAATTAAATGACAATTCTCCTATAGTGCCAAAGGACCATAGTTTGCATCCGGCTCTACAGGATACAAAGCAGGAAACATAACATAAAGAAATAATAATAATAATATTAATTAGCTTTATCTATGTAAAATTTGTGTGGTCTTAACTTTTGCTGGTCAAACCAATCACATAAATAATTATATCGGAAGACAATGGCCGTAGGACAACTAATCGACAGCCGAAACAATAGTGCCTGGGCGTGATAAAAATCTGATGCAATCACGGATGAAGCAATATTTTTCAACGCTAAACAAATTTCATCATACACCCCGAAAATAGATTCATATTAATGCAAACGACTGCAAATGACCTAATCTGAGAAAAAAAAAAAAAAAGGAAAAGAAATCGATTACACATTGTCACTCCAGTGGGTCTAAAACTGACCGTATGGTGAAAGAAAGAAAACTAAAGCGATTGTTTCAATTAATTTGCACACGGGTGTATAAAAGCCATTTGAAAAACTTCATTTTGTCATGTTTCACCGATGAGCCAAAGTCATGTCTTGCAAATTGTCTTAATTTGTCTCAAATTCTCATCGAAATTTATTTACATGTTTAATAATATAATAATTATAATATTATATTAATATTTTAATAATATAATATAACGTGAAATGGTACCACAAAAAAGCAAAACTTTTCAAAAGTTTACAATTCCAATTTTGTGTTTAATTTTTTTTAATTTTTCGATATAATCCGAAAAAAATCTTGACATTTGATCCCGTTTAATAATACGAGGGCAGGTTGATATTTCAGAAACAATGTAGTAAGTGTGTTGAACTGCGTGGTGAATATATGAAAGGTCATGTAAATTTCATCGGTCTAGCTTAGTAGGGACTAAGAACCTTTCAGCACCCCCTCTTATTAGCAGGTTAAATTCTTTTAAAAATCAAAATTCTTTGTGATATTAATCCGTGTATTTATTAATTATTGACACAAAAAGGAAATAATGAGAACTCCTACAGAAGGTAATGAAGAAAACATCAAATGCAAGAAGACATAACTCATGGTTGTCAGCAAAAGGGACACACGCAAAGGGTAAATTACAAACTGGAGACGGCAAAATCAAGCAAATACATGTCTGAGTAATATTTTAACAGAGGATAGAAAGGGCACTACTAAAATCAGAAGGTGCATAGGGATAGCCAAAGATGCCTTCCAAAAGCTAAGCAAAGTATTAAGAATCATGGAAATTTCGTTAGAAAAGAAGACGGGACTGTTACGTAATATCTACCCAACTATATGGCAGTGAATGCCGTATAATCTCCGCAAAAATGAGGAAGAAACTTGAGATGATGGAAAGGTGGTTCTACAGAAGGATACTGAGAAAACTATGGACCAAATATATGAGCAACAACAAAGGTTTATAGACAACAGAAACAAAAAGGACACTTATACGTAAAAGACGTTTAAGACCCATAATGAGGAAAGGTTGGAGAATTTAACACTCACAGGTCAGGAGGAAACAGAGAAAAACAGTGCATAACCTACTTAACGATCTTGTGTAAAAGGCTGGCAAAACAGGATTTAGGAGAGATAACAAAATATAAATAATCTACAAAAGACAGGAAATTGTGGAGAGCCATGATCGCCAACGTCCTGAAATGACACAGTATATAGAAAAAGTAGAATTCAGTACTAGTAGTAACATTATACTACTAGCAATAGCAGTATTCAGCGAACTAGGATTGCTTGATCCATGCAACTGTATTTGACTGTGTCGCGTATCATTTGTCATCGATCACTGCATATTAAGGCAATGTGTCAGTTTACTTATGCTTACCTATCTCTATAAATGGAGTTCTGTTGCACACTGAAGTTTTTTGTCATTAAGTTTTGCTCCTTTAGATGACTAAGGTTTTATTAGCACACTGACTTATCAGGCTAGGTTGAATTTGCCATCAGGTAAACTCCCGCTATTATAGCTCTCCGGGTGATTGAAGCACGAAAGTCAATTCACCACGGCCAGGTTGACATTCATATGAACGGGTGCTACCCCAAATTCCAGGGAGCTTAAACATCGCTCGCAAAGAGAATATACAGTCTTTATGTTGTATCAAATATAGAATTAGTATCAAAGAAATGCAAAAGCCGATTCACTCAAGGACAATATTTGATCCAGATGAAATACTGATTTATTCCTCGCCATCTTTTATCTGTAATACGTATCTAAAATCAAGGGCTGTCTGTGAATGGCAAGAAGGGAGCACCCAGTCCCGTTTCGACAGAATCTGTAAACAGAAATATTTAGAAGTGTTTATACGGAGGGAATAATACACCTGAGAAATAGGCAGGTAGATATTTGATATGAGTTAAACGGTATAAAGGAGGAAACAAAATAAATCGAAAGAAAGCGTGGGATATTTAAAGCGTAAGAAGAGAGTATTGCATATGTGAAGAAGAAGAAGAATGCACGGAGAAGATGTAGTAAGGAAAAGGAGAAAAAGGAAAGTAAGAGGAAGATATAGTAAGGAAAAGGAGAAAAAGGAAAGTAAGAAGAAGAGAATGTAAGGAAAAGAAGTAAAGGGAAAGTAAGAAGAGAATTAAGGAAAAAGAAAATGGAGAAGAGAAAGGAAAAAAGTAATGGGAAATTAAGAAGAAGAGAAAGTAAAAAGAAAAAGAAAAAGAAAAGAAGAAAGGAAGAAGAGAAAGAAAAGGCAAAGGCAAGTATGTAAAAGAAGAAAGTATCAGTTATTTGGTTACGTGAAAATATGCATAAATTAGAACCAATATATAAATAACAATTCGATTACATTTAACATTTCTTCAGAAAAATCCATTTTACCTCCACATTTATTCATATATTGTGTCACACACGCATATGGCTTACAGCCATATCACATTGAAACACCGGTCTTCGTACTGTCACCGAAGTTAAACAACGTCGAGCCTGGTCAGTACCTAGATGGGTGACTGTTTAGGAATACCAGGTACTGTAATTTTGCATGACAAAGTGGTGTAATGGATAGCGGTTTGGAATTGAAAAATCGGAGAGCAAAGTTTCAATTCCAGTCGGGTTTGTTACGTTCCTTGGGAAATGCATGAATCCACCTGTTATTCTCCAAGCTATGGGTTAATTAGTAGAATAGTAGCAGTAAGTTATGATTATTTCAAAATGATTCTTAAAATCTAAAAATATTAGATTATTCAGTAAGAACAACTTAAAAGTAATGGCGTGCAAACATAATAGTAATATTGTTAAATAATAGTTTAGCAAACTATTATTTTAAGGGGATGTTTATCTTGGCTTTGACTTCCGGAGGTTGATATTCGGGGTCAATTTTGAGCCATAATAGGGAAGTCGATTTTAATTGGCTGAGCTAGATAGGAGAAAGATTTCAGCGAGTTGGTTCTTACCTGTCAAGCGATGTAGACATGTTCTCTTTCGTGTCCGAAACGGCTCCCAGTGAGATGGTTAGGACACCCACTGGATAGTTAGATAATGTACCTGTCGACATGAGTTATAAAAATAGTTAAGTTAAAATTCTTTGTTTGGAGTCTTCCATTGCTGAACCAAAACAATTAGCCGTCATCGGCCAGCATGGGGAAAGAGGGCAGAAAATGCGGGTTACAACACAACGTGAAAAAGTTCGGAGAAAAAGTTCAGAGCTCTTAAAGAAGACCCAACAAGGAGAATAAGAAATAAAAGAAAAAAGTAATCCTGACATAAGGACAGAGAAAAATACAAACAAACAAAAACTTATGTATTACGGCTCATACACACTCACATTCATATCTAAACAACTGACCAAAATAAGAAGTAATGATGAAAAAAAGAAAAGTACAATATGTAAGCGGACTGGTTTTGTCGCATGTACGAGCGAACAGGTTTTGACGGACAGACAATAAAAAGTTATGAAAAAAAAAAAGGCTAATTGAGAAAAAAAGAAAGAAAGGACAGAGTATGAACAGTGGACACTCACTCTCACACATACCCACCGATGCGACAATGTTAATTTTGGCCAAACATTTTAGTGATTTTTGTTTTGTTTTGTCTTTTTACAAAGATCTAGAACCTTGTGCGAAAATCAATTTGGAATTTTCGCCCATTATTTTTCTAATTCTTAAAGTTTTAAGGTTATGTTGATTTCATTAACACACTTTAATGTTTGTATGTCTTGCAGTCTATTTCTTTTTTATTTTGTTATGGAAAAAATCTGGGCGCGAAAGTTTCGTTTAAAAAAATTCCTGGATATTGTCCAAAGAGTCACAGGGAAGACATCTGTGCACAAGGAATGGCGTAGAACCTGGAGAGGAAAATTTGACCAATAAATACATTTTTCTGATGTTGACCTTTGAGGAAGGTCGATGATTAGTCACGTAGAGGCCCGAATTCGCGTATGTGAACGCAATAGATAATTGTTTTGAAAAGGAAAGACTGACGGTATTTTGTGATGAGGCATTCCCACTGTGATTTGCGGTCATTTCTGTGTACTGTTAATCAGTTGAAATTTTTTTGTAACTATGGTTTTGCGGACATTCAAATATCTTAAGTTTAGAATTATTTTATTAATCGTAGTATAGTATAGCTGGTCATTCGGGTTCGAGGATACCCATCTACTAGGGTGGCTAGCCAATCCCTATTGCAGATGCTTGCTCAGGCGCATTTGTGTTTATTCAACACTCACACAGTCCACCTGTGGTTTATACTGCAACTATGCTGAGCAGACCTTAGTTACAGTTTCTGGGAAAGAGCGTCTTATCTAGCGTGATCAACAATTTAAACAAGGACAGCACGCTCAAGCCCTCTGTCACAATGACTTGAGGCTTCTTGCTAGCACAGCTACCGACAGCCCCTAAGTGGTCTGTCTACTTAATTCCACTCACAAGAGTTGGGTCAACCCGTGGCATGGTTTTCATGCACTTTCCAAAAGTGCCACGCGCTGGGATCGACCTTGATTCAGTCCGATTACTCCAGGAAGTCTCGTTCCTGACAAATCGACCATGGTGAGATTCGAACCCGGGTCTCATGGTCAGAATGTGAACGTTCTAACCACTGGGAAATTTTTGTGACTATGGTTTTGCAGGTATTCAAATATTAAATTTAGAATTATTTTGTTAAACGTAATTAACTGATAAATGATTGTTTTAATCATTTTTGTAAGTGTATAGAAATATTTTTTTTGAATTTAAGAGCCGTGTGTGTGTCTTTTTGCTTTCAGTTGTTGAATAATTCAGTTGTTAATTAGTGAATTTTGTGAGTTAATTTTTTGTAAAAAAAATGAGTTAATTAATTTTTTGTGGAAATAAGTAGATTCAATGTGCATAGCTTCGAATTTCCGAATGTGTTTGGGTCTGTATCCTGGGGCGGGGAATTGTCAAACCTG